ACGAGCAGGGCCGGGTTGTGGGCAATGAATGCCACGGCGGCAGCCTCTAGAGCCTGGCCCATATACCGGTCACTGTTAGTGCAGAATAGCGTGGCCAACAGACCAACACTGATACTGTGATGTTGGTCGAGAATCTCATTGAATCTCAATTGATTCGGAACTCCATTTTGTAGGTGCTGAGAAGAGAGGTACCCATTTCGCAGTTTCATTGTTCCTTCCTACACACGAACTATACTACATACAGTACATAACATCACATCCGTACAATTGGGAGATACATCCTACATAAACCCACGCAGTCTCCCAAACCCGCTTAGGCCGGGAACCGAAACTCGGTGACGGGTACAGCTTTGGAGTCGCAGACGCGACCAGACTGCGATACTCGTACTGAGAATGAGATCACAACATGAGAACCGCTGAATCTCCCATGATGCAATCTCACGCAAGGGGTTGAGGCTGTGAAGCTCACAGCCCCAAGACGAGAGCAGTTTTCTGGAGTGAGTAAAAGTGCCACGAGAATTGGCAGCTTGGCAACACTTTAACAACACCATATTGTGACTTTGTAGGCCTCCTTTCAACAACGGGAATTTTGCCGCAACGGGCGACTCTTGCTTCTTTCTCACTCATCTCATCATGCCCAATTGTGAGAAATGGCTATTACACGTACTGGGAATGAAACGAAACAGCCTAATCTGCATAGACTCGCAGCTTCTGCATCGCCTAGAATAGCATGTAGTCAAGAGCTATCCTGTATGTGCATGGTCTTCGAGTTAGGGTCGCATGAAGAGCGGCATAGAGCCTCTCAAGACCGATATTCCGTAAATGAGCGACAAGAATCTCGAGCAGTACGTACGGTGTAAAACGAGACATCTCACATTGCTCACCCAAACTTCGTCACTTGCTGTTGAGATCTCTCAAATCCAGGTCCAAATACCAGGGGTAGTTGATCGCCAAGAATGGGGTAGTCGTCAGCTCTCAAGATTGTCCCCCAGCGGATACCACTGCGCCATGCCCCGGGACACTCACAGCATCCGACTCCATCAGCATCTCAGGGCTGGACTTCAGCCTGGCGAGAGAATTGAGGAATCTTAAAGTCTGGATTTACTTCGATATTGGTCACTCCATCATGGAAAACACGGCATGCGCAAGAGCCACAGAAACCCGCCGCCGTCCCCAATTGTTTCGTCGATCAAGTTCGAATCTCCCCCGTGGGTCAAATTAGACAGGAAATCTCTCGATCGACCTGTAACCAAGATTACGAGGCTGTGTTGGCTGTCTCAGCTACGATCCACGCGGCAGCGACCATGTCACAGGTCTCCCGAAGGTAGACGCAATAATAGTGCAGAATGCCAATAGATGAGAGCCAGGATCAAGTTCCTCTGGTGTAGCAGCTTGCCAGCTCCTCATGTCGGCGTCGACCTCAACATCGTCGTTCACTCAGAATGGGCCCTCAACTCCCTCATTGTCGCCCTATTTCACAGTGATTACATCGCCATCGGCCCTTGTCAGTTGAAAACAGCCAGACTTATAGTGAAGCCGCGTGTAAAGGCAAAAAGCTCCGTAAGCTCCGTGTCGCCGTGTCAGCCAGCAGTATCTTTAGCAAAGCGCCGATACCGTGCACGCTTCCGATTCGGGTTACCCATGGCCCGTTGATTGGGCTAAATCGGGGGCCGACATCGCCGCTCTGCGCAAACTCACCGTCGCCATATGCCGAAAACGTGAAAACTAATCATTCGAAGTGGGGGAACTTGTCCCCCCCGCGACCACTGCCGCCTCTATCATCCAGAGCAGGTTATTAGACATCACCATAGGATAATCTCACAAGACAAACACAGCCTTGTCCAAGCTCCGCACAACTGCTCATACAATCTGAAGACGATCAGCCACAGGCCCTTCCCCCGCTCCGCTCCCATTATTCAACGCCACACTCTCTACGAAGACATTAGCAGGCTGCTCATCGAGAGACACAATGACCCTGGGCCCTCAATGCTGGCGGTGCCGCAAAAAGCGCCTCCGGTGCGACTCCTCCGTCCCCGCCTGCCGTAAATGCATCATCGCACGCACAGAATGTCCAGGCTACGGCGACAAGCGACCCATCGCCTTCCGAGACCCGCTCGTCCTGACGCAAAAGGGCGTCGTTATCCGGGTCCGGGATCGGGAGCCGGACGCGGACGGCCAAAGCCGCGATAGTGACAGTGACCGTAGCCGAGGAAAGACACGGAGTAGCAGCAGCGCCAGCTCACCGGCGTCGGTGCTTGGCATCGTGTGCCGATCGCCGAGAACGGCCGGATCCGTGATGGAGTTGAGGATAGCGGCTGATGCCATGGAATATTGTGGGTAACAGCTTCCCCGTGTGGTTTACGTTCACACAAATTGTGAACTTCACTTTCACTCACTCCGAAAACCTCACTCACTCATACATTACCACTCACTCACTCATCACTGTTTTCAGTGCTTCAATCTCACTCCCACATCTTCATTCTCATCTTCATTGCTCAATCAATCAACCAACTAATTACTTATTCACAGATAATCACCACGTAGCACCCGACCTAGTCCCCTACTCAACCTCAACATCACCATATCAAATCTCCCCCCACCAAATAGCCTCACTCGCCTCCTACCTCCGCAACACATATATCTCTATCGCAGCCCTCCACAGATACATCAGCGGACAGCCGTCGTCGTCGTCATCATCATCATCATCGACTTCAACTTCATCATCAAGTATCCTATTCAAACTATCAACCGACAATAAGACCCTCGCCACCTCCACATCCCGCCCTCCTATCAGGCAACATGCACCCCGGCCAGGCGATACATCCGAACTATCAAGGCTCATGGCCGCAGGCGATTTCAAAAGCGTCCACTTCGCATCCCAAGCAGCCGCCCTACAAGCCCTAGGCCAAGAACTCTGCGCATATCACCAGCCTCAAGGGAACAACTCACCAAACACCGCCGAAGATCCAGGGCCCAGCATCCTCCTCGGCATCATGGTGATGCTCACATCTCAGGTACACTCTATCTCTCTCTCATCCTCATCCTCTCACCATTCACCCAACATATAACAAAAGACTAACGTTCCCCAAGATCCAATTCTCCGCCTACGCCCCGTGGCAATCCCACATCACCGGCGCATGGAGCATAATCCTCACCCACGGCCCCTTCGCAGCCGTCGCCAACTCGGACCCAGAACTCTGCCGCCTCCTCCAGCAATTCGCAATCTTTGACATCTTCGGCACGTCCACCCACGGGGCCATCAACGCCGCCACCACCCACTCATCGTCCGTCGCAGGCACGATCCTCGCAAGACAAGAATCCTACGAAGCAATCTTCCAAGACTCTGAAACCGACGCCGGCAATCCGTGGAGGCTGGTCCCCAACGACCTGGCCAAGATCCTGATCCGCATCAACGGGCTACGGGCACGGAGGGCACTATACCCAGAGACGGCGAAGCATCTCCCAGAAGGTCTATCTGCCGTGCTAGAGTATCTCGGCACCTCACCGCCCGAGAAATGGGCCGCAGAGATCTCGGCGACTGCACAGGTCTCGCTGGCACCAAACAGACTGAGCGAGGACCAGGAAACAAAGGACGCTTGGCTAGCACTGATGACGACGTATCACAGCGCCGCCGCCTTATACGCCATCAACAGCCTCGCCGGTCTCGGAACCGCACCGAGATCAAGCACCCTCTGGCCAGAAGAAGCCTCATCCCATCTCGCAAGAAGAGAATCAACAGCATATAGCGTACTCATCGCGAGCCTCCGCGTCCTCTTCACCCAAAGAGCCCAGCGACATCCCTCACAAGCTACCAACAACGAAACACCATCAAATCCCATCGCAACCAGCGCGGGGCTGTTACACAAATTCGTCATCTGGCCAATGGTCATCGGTGGAATCCAATCCACCCTCATCTACAACGACCAAGAAACCACAACCTTCACGTGCTCGGGTATGCAAGCGGTCGGTGAAGAGCTGGGCACGGTAAGCATGATAGACGGTGCTCGCCTCGTCGAGAAGCTACAGCGGGAAGCAAAGCACGGTCGCAAGTTTTCGTCATGGGACGAGCTGTTTGAGGGGGCACCCTTGTTCTTGATGTGATTATACTTCGTACCATCTTCCTCAAGAAAAACCCCAAGGGTCACCCCAAGAATCGAATCGCGGGATCCGGTCGGGAGCTTGGGGACCATCCACTGATCCACCCCGCAAAAAGGGAATTTGGGATTTCAGGGTCTTGCCCAACCCCTCCGAGCAATACCGGGTCAGACAGCCAAGCGTCGCCGATGTGTCCGGGGCGATCGTCCGAATTCTCTGCATGCCTTCGAGTTGCAGCCGTTCGAGCCGCGGCCGATCACTGCCGGTACCACCAGGAATCTGAGACACGGAACGGCATCCAGCGTTTGCAGTCTCTCACCAAATTCCTGCGTTCATCAAACATGGCCTTCTGATTTAGCAATCCGCGAACATCACAAATAGGGGCGCTGAGACAAGATTGTTTGAAGTAGTCATATAATCCATTGGATATGTACAGGAGAAAAGGTGCGTGCACGACGCCGGTAAGCTGAAGGGTATCTGTCCCGAACAGCAGTCAAGATTACAAGTCGGTGTAGTGTGTCCAGACAAGCAAGGACCAGCGCCGGTGCGATTCTCACACAGCGTCTGGTCATGTTGGGGGCAACAGGTGCAAATAAGCAGTTGGCATGTCGGCCAATGCAAACCTCCCGGCCAAAAAAAGAAAAAAAAAAAAGGAACCAGAGCAGGCCCCCCAATGCTCATGCAAGTGCGCCGCTAAGAGACGTGACGGAAGATGGTCGTAAAGTGCAATATGCCAATTGCTTTTGAGCAAAACCTCATCGTCGTCGAACCTCGAAGACTCGCCCCGAGGGGAATCATGTTGCCGTCGTGAGATTGCCGCCCTGATCTATGTATCGTTCGTTCCGGAACTATTTTTTCTTTGCTTTTCTTCTTTGATCGATTCAAGTAGCGTAAGCCAGACGCTTCTACCGCTGGATCTCGCTGACGCTGACGCGGCTTGACCTCCAGTCATTCGTGGGAGTCTGCTTTGAGGATCCGAAGCCGGGCATGGAGGCGAAGCGGCTCAGTCGCTTCTTGCTGGGTTCGGTCTGCGTTGGGGCGACAGTGGGCGAAGCAGGCTCGGCGTGATGCAGGGCATTCACTCGTGGGGATGAGGACTCCTTGCTGCTAGTCGTGCCGGCGGATGAGGAGCCGGTGGAGGTGGGAGTCTGGTAGACGTACTCGCCGTCGACGTAAACTGCGTTGGAGACGAAAGTCGAGCGGCGATGGCGGCGACGAGTGTAGCGCTGCTCCAGACGGAAGAGCTCAATCTTCTGCTGGATACGTTCAAGGATACCGGGAGCCATTGTGACGATTATTCGTGCGAAGACGTTCGGTATAGGTTTGGAAAGCTTGTTGTGTTGAGGTTGCTGGAGAGATTGATCTTGCTCAAAGTTGATGGCGGGACGAGGCAAACTCAATTGACTCGACTTGGGATGAGATGGTTGTGCAAGTACAGATGACGGGTTGTAATGTATTACGGGAGGACAATGTCTGTGAACGGTGGCAGACGCACGTCGTAATGTAGGGGCGCAACAGATCAGACGAAAAGCTTATCGGTCGCGGTAGGAATGGATGGAATGGAGGTCGCAATCTAGTGACACAGATCTGCCGGCTGGCGTTTGCGGTAAGATGTCTGTCGTATTTGGAGGACTGCTTGGCAGCAAGTGTCTGATTGTGGTGCCGTGATCGGGTGCTTTGGCTGTTGGATTTGTTCTTTTTTCTTTTTTTCTATTTCAGCGCTCTGTGGCTGATAGTAGCTTGGTGTCTGTGACCTCTGTTGGGAGTCGGTGCGGGAGCGAGGGAAGGAGAGGTAGTCAAAACGCCGGGCTTCGAGACCTCTCTGGTGTGGTTTTGTTGTATTAAGGTAAGTTGAGTTGGAACGAGTGGACTGGGTGGGAGTGTGCGTGTGTGTGCGAGTGAGAGAGATGTTGTATCCGGTCTGGAGTGGTTGGGATGGATAGAAAAAGATTGGAAGAATGGCGGCGGCGGCGGCTTGGCCCAAGGTGGTAAAGTGAGTTGAAGGAGAGGTACCTTTAGGTCGGGCCGGAGGGTGAGGTGTGGTCGGGTGTGAGGTGCGTGAGGTGTGTGCCGTGTGGTGTGGTGGTGGTGGAAAGGGAAGAGAATGACAAGGTGCAAGGGAAAGGATTGGATGGCCGCGAAGGGAACTGCCAGACTGAAAGGGAAGGGGGGAATGCTGAGGTACTTCGTGAGGTACTTCAAAAGGAGGGGAAAGAACGACTCGTGCAGGGAAAGAGCCGTCTACGAATCACAGATTCAGCAGATGGGAAAAGGTAGGTCCAGATACGGTTGCAGCTGCAGGAAGAGAACCTTGATAATGTTGTTACGGGTTGTTGGAAGGCACGGAAGACGAGAGGGAAAGAAGGAGAGGAGACGGGGTGTGGTGTGTGTCAACTTGCAGTGGGAAGGAGCAGGCGCAGGAAGCTGCAGGTGGCAGGTGTAGTAGCAAGAGCCAAGAGGAGGAGTTCTTTCCTCTGGAGCGATGGGGACTGGAGGGAGTGGGGCACGGCGCTCGGGCTTCTGGAACTTGCCTTGGAGTCTTGGACGGTACGAACACAGACGGGGTGGATTCCGTGGGAGGGAGTATTGTCCTGAAGCACTGGGCTGAACACTTTGGACCAATCCAAGAAAGTTTGCACAATTGACAATTGGAGCCGCAGGTGCAGCATTGGGTGGTATGGTGCACTGCAGACAGGTGCAGGTCTGGGATATGCATATCGAATGTCACACTCAGCGTCGCGCCTGGATGCATCCAACGCTCGCTCCCAAGCTTCTTAAGAACTCTTTCAGCCACTGAGAAGCGCTGGAAAGATGGGAAAAGATGGAAAAGAGACGGGTCCTCCGATAGACTGGTTCATGCCTCGTTTCTTCCCTGCCAGTTCCTGCCCATCGTTTCCTCTTCCATCAATAGCGTGTGATTGGTATCCACACCTCCTGGGCCCACCTCATCTCTACATGAATCCACTCTCCACGCAATCGCAGCCAACGATATGGCGCCAGCCGGGACACCTTCCCTGTCCCGCCATGTGCTCTCCTGCCCTTTCCCACTTGCTCTTTCCCAAGCTTCATGGCTCCCCGGACGTTGCTTCTCGTTCTTGGTGTCTGCTCCGAGTTTCGTTCCTCTTCCGGTGGAGTTTTCTTGCACTTGCGGCCATTGTTCCCAGCTTTCCCAACTTTGGCTCGCGCAACTTTCACTTTGTTGGTTTCTTCAGCTCCGCCGTCGTTTCTTTGTCGTGATTTTTCTCGCCGTTTGCCTCGTGTCGACCAGGCCGTTTCAATCCGTCTGCATGTCACGTTTTTCCTTCTTCCTCTCGGCCACAACCGTCAGCCTCCCACGACCGGTCCTTTACTAAGGACACGAACCACGCGTTGACGGTGGAGGCTTAGACAATTAACTCCCGGGTCTCCGTCTGCTTTCTTTTGGGTGGTTCGTCCGTCTCGGCCCGTTGTCGAATAATCCACCGCTCGTCGGAAAACTCCAGAGTCGACATTCGAGACGGGCCTTCGAAGCTCGACCTCACCACTTGAACGCTGCTCCCAAACGGTGACCCGCTGTGTCGATCCGGCCTGGAATGCTCCACGATGCCGTTAGTGATGCACCAGATGTTCCGTCCGGGTAGTTTGTCCTGCCTCCCGCGCCTTGCTTGCGTGCTCGCTGACTTTAACCAAAATCCAGACTGCACACCATCTCAGTCTCCCAACCACGTCTCGGGGTCCCAGGAACGACGAATACAGATAAGGCACCGAACCATCACCAACTTGACACCGAAAACCGTCGACCATGATACCATCAACCTCGTGTCTGCCCCTCCCGCCCCCTCCCTTCGCCACCCATTTCCCCTGAACCTTCGCATTCGGCGTTACATCGCCCCATGAGCAATCGGTGGGACCAACACCCAGGGGTTCGTCCGCTTCGATCCCCGCCCTCCGAGTCAATCACCCCGGCGAAAACCTCGCCCTTTAGCGATATTGCAACTGCGCCGTCGGGTCAACCAGTGTCGTCAGTGCACTGCAACCTATCAGGCTTAAGCAAGCTCCTCTGTCCATCCCAGCTGACCGGATGACGGAATTTGGCGATGACTTCAAGACAGGCCTCATGACCTACGTCTATTGAACTTCACGTGATTCGAACTTATCTCGAGGATAGTACGCTGACAGTCATAAGTATGGCTTGTTGCGGTGCGAAGCTATGTAGCACCTCCCTCGCCAGCCTAGAGCCGCCTTGCTCGGGATGATATCACCTCGTACAATTACTCAACCTCCATATCACCGTCATCCGTCTCCATCTCAGCCATTGAAGCCTCATAAAGATCGTCTTCTAGCTCGGGACAACGCACTCGCAAGCACTCCAGAATATCGACGTACCCCCCAGAACCATCGTTGCCGTTTGCCTCTTGCAAGATATGCTCCAGTGCAGAAAACCCAAAGGGCTCCAAAGGCCGCCGTAACGCCGTGATATCCACACCCGGGCAGCCGATCAAGGCTTCCATCGCCTCCATGTTCCCGTTCGTCACAGCATCAACCAGTGGTGTTGATCCGTCGTTGGCCGTCACGTCAAGTTCAATTGAGGGGAGGTCCAAGACAGCGTTCAATGTTTCTCGGTCACCATGCCGGGCAATAATATGCAATGCCGTCTCACCGTCTTCGTTCTGCACATTGAGCTGATGCTCGGGTGCTCGAGAAAGGAGAAACCGCAATAGACCGTGTCGTTTGCGAGACGCCGCAACATGAAGCGCTGTCTGCCGTACCTGACGATCCACGAGGAAGTCGACGCCGGGGTACATTGCCAAGAATCTAGCTGTAGCATCATCTTCGGCCCGCGCTATCGCGAGATACAAAGCAGTATGCCCAGCTTCTGACGTCTCACGATTCACGTACTCCTCATTCTCCTCCGCTCCGTCAAAATGCGCCTTGAGAATAGCTTCCACCACGTTCACTTGCCCGCGAAGGGCAGCGACGTGCAAGGGCAGCATTCCGTTCCGGTCCCGCGTCTCCTCCGCCGGCCGGATATCTGGGTGGCAGCGCAACTCCGCGTAGCACAACTCGCATCCCACCGAGGCTGCGAAATGAAAAAGGGAGAACCGTCTCCTGAATATTCGGTGCCACGGTTTGGCGCCTCCCGGCTCGAGAAGCTGATGCACAATGTCCGGCCTGTGGTCCAAGATAGCGGCGTGGACGAGAGTCAGCCCTTGACTGTCCTTGAGGTCCGGTCCGACGTGGTCGGTGAGGAAGGCAAGCTCCTTCAGGGACCAGCTGCTGGATTTGGGCGGGATGAGGGCGAGATCCCGTGCGACTATGGGGTACTTCGCGCCCTCTTTCACCAGAATGTCGTGAGCCCAGATCTTGGCGTATGGCTGCGAGTCTGAGTAGAGATCGCCCGGAGCGAAGAGGAGACACCCAACAACCGCATGGGGGACCAACTTCTCCCATTCTGGGCCGAAGCCCTGTTCAACGTAAGACCAGTCGTAGAGATCAAACTTCTTCAAAAGTATCGGAAGCCTCGAAGAAAGTGTGGTGGATAGTGAGACTATCGCTTTCAACGTAATGGTCTCCGACATGCTTGACCTGGACCGAAACATCAGGTCTGAGATCTGTTCGCGTATGAGTAGTTTATGGGTTTCGACAGGGCCATCAATAATCGGACGCTTCGGCAAATTGCTGTGTAGCTCACTGAGAGTATTCTCAAACAACATCCTCTCCGCGAAACACGTAGTCTTGCCGTGGCCGAGTCTCGTCTTGATGGCGATCGATATCCTGTCTTTGAGAAGTGGTAAGGTCTGATGAAGGCCCGAGACGTAGGGCACATCGAGCTGTGCCTGAGTCCCAGGTCCATTGCTTTGGCAGGGAGTCTTTTGGAAATCGAGAATATCTAGCAAGGAGGTTCTCTGGTGATGATGGACTTCGTATACGCTGTTCAGAAGCTGGACTGCGGTAAGTATATCCATACTGTCTCATATGATTAGCCTCTACTCAAGAAATAAGCTGACATGGGCCTTACAGATCTTCGCAGTTCCAAAAGTTGCTAGAGCCATCATGATCTTGGCCGTGGGATCCCCGGTCGCTCGGGATACTCATCATGCTTTCAGGCTCTTCTTCGCCTGGAGCCCGTCTTCGTGTCCTTTTCTTGACTTCGCCAGGTGAACACTCTAGGCCTTTCGACAAACAGCGATCGCACTTTTGCGGCCATGTTCGAGGTTGAGGCAGGCACTTCGCAGCTCGCTTGTCAGCAATTTTCTGACCGAAGCCATAAGCGCTCTGCCGTACAGGCGGGGCAAGGTAAGCGCTTGGAAGAGGACCGAGATACCTTCAATTTGTGTTGTCTGCAAAGCTGGCACTTTTCACTGTCCAGTTTCCTTGGTGGTTTCTTTCGTTTGTTGGACTCTTCTTGAATGTCGCTCACATCTTGCGACGTTTGCAAGCTGAAGGGCAAAGGCGCAGGAGGTGGTCCAACCGGCGATCCGATGTTGGGAGCCGGGTTGACCGCCATTGAAACTCTAGTGAAGATCGATCTTTGACCGCCCGTCAAGCTAGAAAACAAGTCTGTTCTAGTTGGAGGTCAAGTAGCTTGGGACAACGGACTGGGCTTACACTTATTCACGATGATACTCGTAAGGCTGTCATGCAGACCGGGGTTGGCCATCGCACTTGTAAGTGCGACACACTCCTTCATGCACGGGAGCGGGACAGTAGTGGGGTTGACGAATGGCATTGCCGTCGCACTTTCACCGCACTTATCGCACTTATGTCGCACTCCAAATCGGTCTGGATGCGTATGATCATCGCACTCTGCTCACCCCATCCCATCCATGCTAGATCCCTGTCAGCCTTTTGTGAGGCTCAACTTTGGGCACAAGAATCGAGAGTGCGGGGTTGATGAAGAAACCCGGCAAGGTGATTTGAGGTTTTGCTATCCCTCGCAAGCCAAGTGACTGTATACTGTTTACGTAGACAACACGCGTCCGTATCCTGAAGTATGGAGATACTATTCCGCCCATACTTCGAATTGTGTGACCTATCAAATGGTAAAGTTTCTATCGACCTCTTCCATGTAGCTGCGGATCACTAGGTAGACCAATATTCACTACACCACTCCATTCTCTCGACTGGCTTGGTGCTCCTCAGGAAACGCAGGCTCAGGCCTCGATCCATACGGTATGATTCTCACCATATGCCTCCTCTCCCCCTCCCTGAAATCCGGCACCGCGCTATGCGCAACGCTCCTCTGATCCCACACAACAACCGACCCAGCCTCCCACCTCACCCGACAACTGAAATCCAAACTCTTGACATGATTATGCAGAAACCCCAACAGCGCATCCGACTCCTCGGGCAAAAAACCCTCTACCCGCCTCGCAATCGTCGGATTCACGAATAAACTCGGCTCGCCCGTTACAGGGTGCCGGATCACCAGCGGATGCGTCGTGGAGACGGCCTCGCGGAGGGCGCGCTCCGTGCCCACGCGCGCGACTTCACCTACGGAAGCGGAGGTGTGGAATAACCGCAGGCCGCGGAGGGTGGCGCGGTAGGCTGGGGAGAGGGCCGCGTAGGCTGCTGTTAGGGATGTGAAGGCCGTGTCGCCGCCGCCTGAGGCGGGCGTTTCGAGGACCCAGAAGAAGGTCGTCGAGGGGGTGTTTGGGGTGAAGGTTTGGTCTATGTGCCAGAGGTCGTAGGTTGTGCGGGGACCGAGGAGGGTGCGGAGGTTGCCTCTGCGATGAGTGTGAGTGATGGGCACATTTTGCTATATATCTATATGAGATGTGACGCGAGGATAGGGTATCTTACGCTTTCTCGTCTGCGTAGACTACGTGGAATTCTGGACCTGTGCCTTCTGGGTATCCCATCGTGGGGTGCTGGAAAGAAGGGCAAGCAGATCAGCGAATGCGTTCAAGCTATAGGGGGCTTGTCAATCGTACCTTGTGTAGAGGGCCATAGTGCCTCACGATCTCCTTTTGCCTCTCAAACCCAATGTCTGCAAAGTCTTGATCTCTCTAGAATGACCGGTGTTATTATCCATTCACCCGGCGATGGCGTGACCATCATCGCTCTCTATCCGCGATGGAAGACCTACAAAAACTAAAACACCCCTCTCGGCCGCTAGCAGCGCGACCTCATCCAGACCGGCCTTGGAGAGCTGGCTAAGCTGGATACCCCGGACTTCGGCGCCGACGCGGGGTGTGATGTTCTCCACTTTGGCGCCGCCGCCGTCCCGGAAGATGGAGGAGGCGGAGGAGGCGGATCGCGCGGCTTTGGCTCGGACACCGGGTTCTTCGGCTTCAAAGTACGGCACGTCGATTGTCGGCTGGAAGCCGTCGGGCCTGGTGGGGAGGTAGGCTGGGTACAATGGTTCGGTCGACATGGTGGCTGGACTTGAATACGTGCAGCGAATGATAGTGGGAATGGCGAAGCACGCAATCTTTCGCTGTAGAATCTGCCGGTCGCCTGCTGTCGATGTATGTATATAGCCCTTCTCAAATGTCGACGAGACTCAATTAGGTATTATCGCGTCAGGTCCTGTCTCACTCGATCGGCATCATTCCGACAGACGTGCTTGCGGTTTACAATCACCGCGGGGTGAACAGTCGAATCGTAGACGCAGGATAGGCTCTCATCTTACCACTCGGCGGGAGACCGACGCGTCACGGCATAAGCCGGCGAAATGGCGACATTTTACGTTGTATCCCTGCCCGCCGGCGGACGCTTCCCCGGAGCTGGGATAGCCCATGGAACGCTACGACTCGGCAACGAGAAACAGAGTTTTGGCTAACGGTTCATCTGAATTTCTGCCAAAAAAGCAGCTGATCCGTCCCAACTCTTTTGTTATTTTCCCCGATTCTGTTCCTTCGTTTTCCCCATTTCATCATGAAAGATGGTGATGTTGCCATCTGACCCTTTGCCCAGTATTATCGAAGGACTCTCTTGAGCGTCGGTGTGTCCCGACGTCTTGTCGGCATCTGTCCGCTTCAGGGAATAGTTTTGGTATACGGCAATGGCGAATGTCGATTGAATGATCGAGTTCAAATACGACCCTGAAAGCCACTGCTTAAACACCTGCATGGCCATCGAAAGCCTGCCCGAGGAAACATTCTAGACCTGAACGTCATCCATACGAGCTACACCACGAGGCACCACCAACAATGACAAAGACCGAGCCCGAACCGGCCTCGGCGGAAGCCAGCCCAAACCTCACGAAGCCCTCGATCCCATGGCTAGCCAAGATTCACCCCTACTTTGACGACGCAGAACACGTCCTAGTGCTCAAACTCGACATCCTCCTCCTAACATGGGCCTTCATCGCCGGCCTGATGAAGGACATGGACCAGTCCGCAACAACAGCAGCCTACGTCTCAGGCATGCAAGAAGCCCTCTCCCTCTACGGCAACGAACTCGTCGAGTTCACAACCTACTTCTCCATCGGCTACGCCCTCTTCATCGTCCCCTCCCAACTCATCCAAACCCGCGTCCGCCCGTCCCTCTGGCTTCCATTCTGCGAAGTCGTCTGGGGCGCCATCACCCTCGCGACATTTGCCGCCAAGAACGCCCGGACCGTGTTTGTCCTGCGCTTCTTCCTGGGCGTGTTTGAGGCAACCTCGTGGCCGGGTATCGTGAACCTCATCTTCAACTGGTATACCCCCTCCGAACTCGGTAAACGCCTCGCCATCTTCGGCGTGAGCAGCCAGGCGGGGAGCATGTTCCTCGGCATCCTCCAGGCCGCGCTCTACAAGAACCTCAACGGCGCGCACGGTCTCGAGGGTTGGCAGTGGCTCTTTGTTGTCTCGGGTATCATGACCATTGTCTGGGGTCTCTACGGGTTCCTCGTCATCCCCGACGCGCCGACCACAACCCGCGCCCTCTGGCTCACCGCGGACGAACGTGTGCTCGCTGCTTCGCGTATGAGGAAGTCAGGGACGACGACGCAGGAGGTTATCAAGGGCAAGGCCCTCTGGTCTCGTGTGCGAAAACTCTTTACCTCGCCTATTACGTACCTCTTCCTCGCGGCATACCTGCAGTTCGCTTGGTCTCAACGCGCAAACTCGTATTTCTTGCTCTACCTCAAGGGTCTCAAGGCCGCGGACGGCACGACGGCGCTGTACTCGGTGTACACCGTTAACCTGATCCCGCTCGGCGGCTACGCGATCTCCATCGTGGCGAATATATCTCTCAACGCGCTGAGCGATTGGAAGGACTGGCGGTGGCAGGTTGCCGTCGGCGCGGCGCTGCTTCAGCTCGTGGCTACCTCTGTCCTGGCGGCCTGGCCCGGTGGAAGGGGTACGATCATGACATTCTACTTCTTGACGTATGCGACTGCGGCGTGGGGGTACGCGCTGCTCGCGTGGCTTGCGATCATCTTGCGCAAGGAGCCTGAGGCGAGGTCGGTGATTGTTGGACTCGCGGTGACGCTTGTGTATGTTGGGCATGCTACTATTCCGCTGCGGGCATGGAGGACGGCGGACTCGCCGAGGTACCCTATCGGGTTCCCGCTGGCGGCGGCGTTCAGTGTTGGGAGTATTGCTTCTATTCTCGGGATGCTGTGGTATGTGCGCAAGTACCCCGATATTCTTGACTTTGGTCTCAATTGGAAATCGTTGAGGGAAGCTGGGGATAGTGTTGCTACGTTGGAGAAGGTGGATGTCCAGAGTGACGATGGGCAGGAAAGCCAGAAGAAGTCTGCCACGGAGGCGACAAGGGCTCTGTGAAGTTAGGCAGAAATCTCAACTCATTCTTTTGTTGTTTCACATTATTACTCCTACGCTATCTGGTGATGAACTCCCATCCATTGAGAGCCTCTCATCGCGCGTTATGGAATTGCTTCATGCGTCGTCAGTCGACGGCGGGACTGATTCGACTCCAGTTCCATACCCAAATCAGCTCCCGAAGCTCGAGTGAAGATACCATCCCGTACGACAAAACGTTGAGACTTGGAGGCCTTTGCCAGACGTCCAACATCGGTATCAGTAGCAACTCTCGCGTCGTGTAGCAAGTCTGCCAGCTCGGGACTTTCCGAGATCTGCGCTACAGTATGCCACGCATTCTCAGGCAAGCTGTATCGCGTAGACCTGAACAGGACCGCAGCCGCAGCAAACGAGGTCAGGAAGACAAGAATTATCCCTACGACAGCTAGATAACCCCTGAATCGCCATGGTACCGAAGTCAGCTCAAACGTGACCACATCCGCAGTGTCCATCCCAGGTACGGCAGTATTGGGAGAAAAGGCGCTGAGAAAGTCATAGTAGACAAGTCGGGCAAGGGTGAAGTAAACAGCCTGCATCGCGCGAGCCGGCGATCCCGTCTCGTCAATGGTATCGCCAAAAAGACGCTCGTAGATCACATCGCTGGTGCCGTCCTGGGAGTCGAGATTGGGAGCGCAATTATGACAGAAGGCGATGGGCATGGGGGGCATCCGGGCGTAGGTGACGCGGTTGAAAAACCAATCCAGGCTGCGGTCGGCGGCATACTGTTGCCATCTAGAGCCATCGCGAGCGTCGGCCACGGCCGAATCTAGGCTGTCTTTGCTGATGGTCAGGACTTGGCGGTCTTCGTGGGATAGAGATGGAGCGTCTTTGACGGCGCCGAGTTGTTTGCGGACTGCACTCGTGTCGTAGACCTCTTGCTCTACATCCCATTCGTAGGTTGGCTCTGTCCTGTTGCTTGAGCTGGTTGCGGAGACGTTAAGATACTGAATCGAGTCCGGGTAGCTGTGAGGAAGAACTTGTTAGATAATACAGCATAGAAGAACCTGATGGAACAGCTCAAGCTCTGGGTGATTCAAGTACTCACTTAGAGAACTGTGCACACATCGTCATGTTGAAGTTGATATACTGGTCTTTGCCAACGGTGTTAGAATCAACAAGTCTGATATGCAGAGACTCCCTCGTCCACGGGCCGGAGCCAGTCGAACTTAGCACCTTGACAGTCGACTCCATGCTGTCAGAGCTCATATTTCCTTGGATTCTTCCCGCATCCCACACAATCCTCATCGTCGTCATCCTCGTGGTATTCCGAAGTGACCAGTCAAAGGACGTCCAGTTCAGCGTCTCATACGCGCAAATCTGCCAGTCGTATTGATTGCCCATGTACCCCGTCACAGGACAACTAAAATTGAAGTTCATCTCATCCGTCCACATCAATCCCGCCGCAGCCGCCGCGTCCACGGTGGGATCGAGCCGTATCGATCCGCAAATGTCGACGCCGTCTGTGCCGTTGCACGGGCGAACGTTGCTGAGCTGCGGCCTCATGCAGATGAACCGCGTGTCTAGGACTCTTGCCATGCCCTGGAACTCGAGGAGCGACTCGCGATCCTGCTGCGATGCGACGGGGAGGAAGGCCCTGACTGTTGGTCCGGTATCATCTAGTCCTTCTCCTTCCGCTGCGGGACCGGCGTACTCTGCAAATGTTTCCGTAAGTCGCGGTCGTTGGATCCAGTAGTTGTGCGCGTACCCGGAGACAGCTTCAGGCGGCCTGCCGCTCGAGAGGTTCCCTGAGATGAAGGTATACGCATTGGACACCGAATCAGGAAAAGTGACAACCCGGCGCGATTCGAGATCCGCTACAAGAAGAGTAGATGTGAACTGCGCAGCAATCGTCGTAATAGCCAAGAGCGCGAGGATCAGGCGGACCAGCGGCTGTAGCGATGAGCTCGTGAGCGCGAGGAGACTCAGGGACAGCGGTCCGTCACTAGAAAAGCGCGCGACGGAAACTTGGGCTATGTCTTGGAGGTATACGCCCCTCCGCTCGACCGCGACCGACGCAATCATGGCCGTGGCCGCGGTGGCCAGTATGCCTATGGCAGTTCGGATGACGACGGCGGATAGAGTTATGCTCAGTTGGAGCCGGTTCGGGGCGAGGACCCATTTCCGCCAGCGGACGTCTTGGTGGGGTGCCCACCATAGCCATGAGATAAAGGCGACGGCGCCCGCGAGGAAGAGCAACGAGATGACGAGACTGAATTTTAGAAAGAGACTTAGGCGTTTGGTGGGCCGCTTGAACGTCTTCTTCGGCTTGAGGCTTGCGACGCCGTGGTCTGGTACAACAGGGCGAATTTGGCTGGGCTGTTGGCTCTTGTTCGAGTTGGGTGGTGAGTGGTCTGCCGTGTCGCGATCCAGTGGCTGATACATCGTCGGCTCTGAAATACAGATCGTAAGTTGGCATGCTAAATTGCGCTCAGTCTCATCGCCAACAATTCCTTTCACACCGAATCTTCACTTCGATGTCGTGATTTAAGATTACTCTTGCCGCCACACAAACGAAATATGTTCTGCAGGATCAGATTCACTATGCCTCCGTCATCCAGCCCTGTGGAGATCTCCAGTGAGGGACTCAGAGTGAGGCTGCGTGCTTATTTATATCCACTGAGCAACGCAGCCGAGCCCCAACATACGACCACTAGGCAGTGATTTTTTGCAGGGTTAATGGGGGAAGACGATGATTGACGTGTAAACGCAGGGGAGTTGCCACCATTCAGAGGCCCTGAAATTTCGAAATTGCGGCCCTCCGACTTTCTCATGCACCCAGGACCTGGCATGCATGCGCGACATTACCATGGCGAATATTTCTTGACGCTTAAAACTGCCCGAGAAACTGCGCAGTCCATATCAATCCAGCGTGATATCGGATTCGACCATACGTCTCACTTCGGCCATTAGAAATCCCGGAAGTTGGTGGAGAGTTGCACAGGTGAATGAAGCTTATTGCCACTCTTCTCCAACATGTGTGGGTATGCCTACAACCACTGGCCGGAAGTTAGCAACAGAATTCTCACAATGATTGGAAACAGAGCCCAAGGTTTCCGCTTCACAACATGGGTTCTCTACCTCGGATTCAATCTCAAAAGATACACAAAACCAAAAGCCCCTAAGATAAACCGGAATTCCCTTAGCCGCAAATCTTTCGATCCACTCAGCGTTCGCAGCTCACCAGTCTCACAATAAGTGCGCGGAACATGACCGTAACTTTCCAACACGTCTTCCGCTAAGCCAAGCCGCCTAAAATGATGGGATCTTCAGTGATTCTTATTATACGAACCCCATAGATTGCAACCAGCAAAACTTTACCTGGAGTGGAAACACCTTTTAGCATATAGAAACTAGCAATTTGCATCGCTTGTATAATACTCTGTTCAATCGGATCATCATCGGGCATTTCTGACTGAATAGACTACTTTGGTAGGAAGGTTACGGTGAGTGAGTTTATGCTGAGTGCACGCCTTGCTAATCGGAGAGCCCTCTGTTAGCGCGGCCTACAAAGATACAGCGTGGACACTAACATCCCGATAACACCCACGCGAGCCGAGCGAAGGGAGAATGTCTTGCTTTCAGACCGCTCATCCAACTCACCACCCGGAGCTCACCAAAAAACAAGGGCGAGACACCTCAGGAAATACAGTTGAACCTCTTCTGCTGTTGCTGGGCTGTCAACATGGCAACGGCAAAAATCACGTTGCCAGAAGACCTGGGTTCGAAGTCTCTACTTATGTTTGACGACTTGGTTTCCAGAGGGAAGCTATTCTACAGCGAATCTAAGAGCGACATTGTCTCCCACAACGGCTTCGAGGTGCGAGAAAGCCTTAATCTCTTTCCAAAGGCAATCGGTATCCGAAGAAATTTCTGACCAGACCTCACCAGTTCGAGTTCCGCATTAGTCCAGCTTTGAAAAGAAAGCCATATCTGGAGCGAGATGATCCCAAGCGTACGGCAGACAAGGGGCCGTTTCTGACCCCAGATCCCGACTTCGTTGTTGCGCAAGTAGGGTCTCATCATGCACTGAAGCTTAATCTGTGCTGCATGTATCGGCCGGCATTCGTATTATATACCCGACTTTTTGAGCCTCAGGCGCAAGACCTCAACTTCGTTGACGTTGAGGCTGCACGTGCCGTGATGATCGCACTTAAGCCAACTCTGGGGCCCCAACTGATGATCTATAATTGCGGCGTCGACGCCGGATCATCTCAGGGTCATAAGCATGTGCAGATTTTTCCTCAGCCGACTCACTTCTCACTGTATCCTCAGAAGGCGACGTCTGAAATTGGTAAGAGACTTGAATCTCAGGTAGAAGCGGCCGCTAAAAGAGTTCCCAACGCAGAAATCAATTCGACCATTGCTGGGGTTCCCAACCTACATTTCGTATTGCGATTACCCCAGGCAGCGACCCATGAGCAGGCCTACCATAGTCTCCAAAGACTAGTCTCTGCAACTAGGAAAGTTCAGACATCTGATAGGGAAGTTTGCGACTACAATGTCGTCATGGCTGAACGTTGGATATGCGTGGTGCCGCGTCGACTTGTAGGGAGAAACGGCGTAGGGGCGAATGGAGCTGGCATGATAGGTCTGGTATGGCTTCGAGACCAGGCAGAGAGAGACGGATGGGACTCTTTCGGCCTTACGGAACATCTTGTTCGACTTGGGTTACCAAAGACATGAAAGCTAAAGACTGGACAAATTGAAGCAACTCAGTAAGGTGGTCTTGGGGTTCACGGAGTCGGGCAACAACGCGACAAGGGCTGCCTTATGCGGCACAAGACATAAGACAGGGCAACAGCTGTCACAAGTACCGTCATGTCATTCGTGGTTCAGTTTGATAGGATTGTTCACTGAAGTAGGACGGAGAAGTCATGGGTAAATGGTTCAAGTGTACAGGTATATTATGGCATTTGGACGATAACATCAATCCCTGAGGATCATAAATGTAGGCGTATGTGTGACTCATGCACTCTCCTTTCTGCAGTGTGATGCGAGGCGACAGAGAGCGGTTGGTGCAGAACATCGGTACATGTAGGCCGACGATAGAGGCTCGCTTTCCCGGGACCTGCTTGAGGCAAGATCATGATTCATTCCAGGAAAGGGGAGAAAGAGAGACGTCGCCACCTTGGAACAGGAAGAACTCAGCCTCCAAATCGCCAGCGTGACGCGACAGGCCGAGAGACATCATTTGATAAGATAGTGCTGCCGCATTCAACAAACAGCCGCAGTTGTGCATCCAAGACATGGTCAATATTTGGAAGGAAGCAGCAGAGTAGCTGAAAAGAGGAAAAAGAAACTAAGAGCTCGAGTATTGTAGAAGTGTATATGGAGTACTCGCTCTTGGCATGCATTCAGCTCCTGGTTCTCACGGCCGGAAGCAAGTACGTTCACAGTCTTGGCTAGGTATCCGTATGCTGTGATTGTCAGGCCATCACGCAGAGTCTTCAGCTTTCCCTCTAACAGGAAAGGATGCGTTTGAATGTGGGACGATCAGTCCCTCAGTGTTTACTTCAGTAATACGATGCGGCCTCTCATGCCAGTGAGTTCGACTTGATTCATGTTGGAGATTCTGAAAAGGTAAGAGATTGCCGGGCTGAGGTGACGGAGTGGACCCTCCAGGCTCCAGGTGCAGGTACACTTGCCGCCGCTGGCCAGATTGAGAAGAGAACAAGGAAGCTGAAGCAAGCGCAAGCCTATCCCATGCCGTGCTAGGTTTAATTCGTCAACCTTTGCGATATGAGACATACACATCTTGAATCCAGTGTGCCTAGAAGACTCACCGAAGCAAAACAGTCAAAAGATCATGTTGAGAATGGAAATGATCCATCATTTTCCGACCTTACACTATTGATGAGCTGCAGCGGCTGGAAGACCCACCAGTAGGGTCTTCAAACCCAGCGTTGGGCCTCAGCATGAAAAAGACCTTCAAAGGAAGCATGCTTTCGAAGATAGGACGGGATTCTACCTGAGGCAATCTTCTAATTATTATACATTCTAAAACCGAATCTCTGCGCAGAATTTCGTCTGAAACATCCACTCGCGATGGCCACCGATGGTTCCGATTGCCCCGAGACTAGCAACTCGACGGACTGTCTGCTGAGGAATTTGCTTCAACTCTTGAACAATCAACGCGATGCCAATGATGCAGAAGTCAACTGGGATCCCATTTCGTTCGCATTTACATTGATTCTTGGTCTAGCTGCAGCCTTGTTCGCCGCCATTACGATTTGGCAAGCTATTGCAACTGCTGGAAAAGGGTGGCGGAAGACCAACCCCAACGCTATTGGTGGTTGGGCTGCCCGAACTGAAACCAGATGGGTCTGGACCGAGATGAGTTACAAAACCACGGCGTGGACTCCGATCTTGAACGTCGAAACAGTGAAACATTGGGCGGAATTAGGCGACCTGCCAGCCGCCGACGGCAAAGAAAAGTCTGCGTGGGAGAGAATGACGGACTTCCTGCGAAAGTCTCGTTCTCCTACTTGCAAGGTTTTGAACCGAGATCCGAACACTGAGGACAGGCCCGCGGCAACATGGGTTCGATTGCTGGAAGAGCTCGGACTGGAAGAGATCAAACCTCCAAACGAAGATGACAAAATCGGCCTGCGGCGAGTGGTTGCTGATTACCTGCCGGACGATCTACCCGCGGCTCCAGCGTATGCTCAAGTCGGCCTGATCCTTGCAGCCACAGCAATGGTAGGGGTTCAAATTCGGATGAACGAACAGAATTCAGCATATCCTATCGTCGTTGGCCAAGGTTTCCAAGTTGACTTTCGGGACCACCCACTACTTGGACTCGTTGGTGTTTATTCGCGTTATGTAACACGGCGCGACAGCTCAAAACGTTCTCAGTTCAAGCCAGAGCAGCTTGCGATGGTCATGGAATATGGGCGCGGAAGATTCAAAACGATACGATTGAATGGAGACTCAGAGACCCTCGACATGTTGAAGCTTTCCACGCGTAACCAGCTAATGAAAGCTCTCATGGGGTTTGAGACTACGGAACGTTATAGGTTTCCGGAACCATTCATCACAGGCCTAGAAAGCGTCTTTGAGGACTGCATTCCCATTTCACGCTTGCTCTTGGCTGCCACACCTGAACGTGTTCCTTTACTGTTCCCAAGATCGGCATTTACGACTAAAATTCCATTGTCAGCGATCGCTGTTCTGGGATCCTTTTGGTCCTCAGTGCAACTGACCGAGTTCAAAGGGTGGGACGTTTCAATGGACTTGGGCTTTTGGAACGCCCCGACGTGGTCGCGATTCATCTGGGAAACTTCCGTGACACGCTATGAAGCCATTTCATCGGACGCTGGATCTTTTAAGGGGCATTTCCTGGTCTTGCAAATGTGCGTCGGATTACTGCACAGCCCGAAGAAGTTACAAGCTTGGTTTCGCGGTCTGCGCGATGACGATCAAAACTCCATCAAAGAAAGCATCTTGGGGCAACTGAAGGAGATTGACAGATGGATAACGTCTAGTACACAGTCTCAGCGAGACGGCACGCCAGCCCAGTCACCAAGCCCATCTCCACCCAACGAGGACATTACCCAAGCACAATCCTCGAGCAAAATGCCACCCGAATTCGGAAGGCGCATTGCAAGTATATATCGAACGACCATCATTCTTTCGCAGGCACACCAACTTGTAACCTTCAGAAGTCAAGTGAGAGTCAAGGGACAGGACACATCGCAGCAAAAGAACTATCCGAGCGGGTCCGCATGTCATCGCCACAACAACATGCTCGCAGACATCAGAAGCTTACTCCAGGACTTCAAGGGTCCCAAAGAGAAGCTAGACGGGTTTGACGAGGAGTACAGGAGATTGCCCATAGAACGCGGGATAACGCAGCAAACAGAAAAAGGAAAAGAGAATGGCAAAGGAGCTGAAAATCATGGAAACGAAGTTGGGGAAGGGGAAAAGCAGAATGAGGAAAAAAGAGTACCAAAAACAGGTGCACAACCCTGCGACAGAGAACGTGATGATAAAGACAGGAAGGAGACCCAAGCAAAGGGCAAGGGAACAGCGCCGGGAAAAGGCGTCGATCGAGCCAATCAGACGAAAGAACTTCCGACAAAAGATAAGGAAGAGAATCAGACGGAACAGATTATAACGAAAGAAGGGGAGGGAAGCGCTCAAAAAGACAAGGAAGAGCAAGGGAAATGGGAAGACGATGGTCAAGGGGAAGGAGATGTCAAAGAAGAGGGCAGCAGTGAGGTAAAAACTGAGAAGGAGACAGAGAGCAAGGCCGACAATTTCCCTATTCATGTGAAGAATAGGCCCCATCTGGGGGAGCTCTTCGAAAAGTGCAAGAAGTATCGCGGATACTTGCGTTTCATTGCAGGATTCGACATAACTCAGCATTCGATCGACGATTTGTGCAAAATACTGGATGAGCTTGGTGCAATATCGGTGTATTGCACCACGTCAGAAGATGATGGAGCCGACAGGAGGGGTGACTTGAATGACATCCTCATCTACCGCTGTCTGGCAATGGCCTTGCTATTTCAGACATCGATTGATACCGACAAAATGACGCATCTTTGGGATCAGGTATTGCCTTTGATCTAGAAGAGTTATTGTCGGATTGGAAGTCCAATTCGACCTCGACGTACGGCAGACCGCGCAGGGGCCAATTACGGGCCCTACTTCCGATTATCGCAGCCTGCCCAACCTACGGTTGGAACCTCCCTTTTACACCTACGCAGCAGGTTGACCTCCAGCCCCACCAAAAGTGGCCAGGTTGTGGTCGGCTGTCACGAACCCGCGAGCTTCAGTCAGGGCACGGATCGGGCGACACATGGATTCGTTTGCAACGTCAATGAAGCCTATTGCGACTTCGTGTGGTGTCATAGAGCGTCCCGTGTCAGCATTGATCGTCTTCGTGAGCTCTTTAAATTTCTTTGCCACGATATCGGAATCGAGAGGGAGATTCTCGTCCGGGCCGAAGATAGCGGGGAAGTAACTAGGAATAAACCGACCGAGACTGTGATGAACATTGTTAGCCTATATACTTACAAGATAACTTGTTGGGAAATTGACATTAGGTTTGCATCAGTCACTGTCAACGAACCGCCCTTTCTGTATGAAGCAGGGCCGGGGTGAGCGCCCGCACTCTACGAACGAATTTTAGTGTCTACATAGAAGTTTATCGAAGCGAAGAACGGACAAACGTACCTCTGGTCCAACCTTGAAAAGACCATCCTTTAGTATCCTCTAGATGGGATGAGAAAGTGGTGACTCCCTCAACGGGGCTACGGCACGTTGATGGCATGTTCAGTATTGAGCCGCAGATAAGGCCTCGAAACCCCAGATGAGAGACCATAACAAATAGGGGCGGAACTAATGAGCCTCAGCGGAGGAAGCCCGACTCAGTCTCTTTACCCCGCAGATACATACACCATATGTGGGTGAAGATAGGCGACGATAGGCATAGAAGAGGATTTGGTTCGGCTTCGGTGTGAGCGCGCCGACAATGTGGCATCGGACTGGGGTCGCCGTTTCCACTTCCCCGCGGTGGGCTTCTTATCTCGGACACCTTTGCCGTGGGGGGCCTGACTCCGAGCAGCGCGGGAGAGCGGCCCTCGATCCGACGTCGGAGCTGAATGCGACTTGGCTCCCAGAACTCAAAATCGACATCATTTCGCCATAGTCCTCTGACTGTGAACTCTTGTTCGCAATAAACCGAAAAGGGTAAAAGCCAAGATGCCTGACCTGCAAGACTCAATATTGATCATTGGCGCTGGCACCTTTGGCCTGTCAGCAGCGTATCACTTCACCCGTGCCGGGTACAAATCCATCACGATTCTCGAGAAGGGAACATCCGTTCCCTCGTCTCTCTCGGCGGGCAACGACGTCAACAAAATTGTCCGCGCAGAATATGAAGACCCCTTCTATACCGAGCTGGCCTTGCAGGCCATGTCGGAATGGGCCGACAACGAACTATTCGCGCCGCACTACCACCAGACGGGGTACCTCTTAGCCAACTCAGCAGCAGCGCCGGAAAAGACGAAAAAGACCCTAGCTAAATCTCTTGAGAGTATCCGGGCGCATCCAGCTTGGGCTGGTAGGATCAACCCGATCAAGAACAGAGAAGATATCGCCAAAGCTGCGCCGGCACTGAACGGGCCCATGGAAGGATGGGAAGGGTATTTCAATCAGTTCGCGGGTTATGCGCATGCCGCGAACGCGCTGAAGGCAGTCTATGAATACGTCAAAGCCCAGGGAGTCGAAATCCACACTGGGGAGAATGTTGCGAGCCTCACGTATGACGGGGACAAATGCATAGGCGCCCGCACGACTTCCGGCAAAGACTTCAAGGCAGCGACAACGATTCTTACGGTCGGGGCTTCGCTCGGAAACGTGCTCCCGTCCGTCGGCCGCCAAGTCACGGCAAAGGCATGGAGTGTCTTGCACATACAACTCCAGCCGGAGGAAGCAGCGCGCTTGAAGGGAATTCCGGTCACATACGCTCGGGACTTGGGTTTCTTCTTTGAGCCAGAACCTGGCACGGGCATCCTCAAGCTCTCCCCAAGTGGTGGAGGTTACACCAATTACTCGACGACGACAGGCCTGTCCACGCCTCCAGAGAAGAACGACTTCGTACCCGAGGCTGATGTGCGTCGGATTCGAAAGCTGCTCCAGGAAACCCTTCCGGGCCTGGCTGATAGACCTTTTGTCGACCAGCACATCTGCTGGTGTGCCGATACGGCGGACTCTGATTATGTTATCGACGCTGTGCCAGGAAAGAAGGGCCTGTATCTGGCGACAGGCGACTCGGGTCACGGCTTCAAGATGCTTCCGGTGGTTGGGAAATGGATCAAGGACCTGGTAGAGAAGGGAGAGCAGGACATTGCCCGGTGGAAGTGGAAGGAAGGTAGTGATGCGGGTCAGAATGTGAGCTGGCGAGCAGGTGAGGTGGTGGATCTGAAAGATATCTAGTAGCCTTCGACGAAAGGAATACTTTTATTAGAATTCTTGATCTAAAGTCTTAGGGCGTTTAATTCATCAGCGTTCTTCGGACTGGGACCATTCCTTGACGGGGGTCTCAGTCTGTGTTAGGCCCATCTGAAGACATAGAGATGTTGACGTCAGCGCTACATAATCAACATGACCGCCACATTCTCCGAGCGTCAGACTACGGATTACACGTGGTTATGATCGTAGAATAACGACCGATGGTGCCCAGGCCGTCTTTGTCGGCGAGTTGAGCGCGTCATGACTATAGGGTGTGTCCTGAGAGTAAGCTTCCATGAGATGTTTATAAGTGAATGTGCACAAGCAATGGGATATTTTGGCTCATGAATATCGACATTTGCTATCAGAACACAACTTTTCGCAGTTGCCTGTTCATGACCCCCGAGAGCTTTTCATCGTACATCATTGCATACTATTGCTAAGATGTCTTCAGACTCCGGACACATCAACTTCCCGGGCAAGACCTCTGCCACTCCAGGTGAAGAGTTCGAAGTCCGCCAGACCTCGACCACTGAGGACTACCACCCCAGCCCGTCCAACTCAATTCCCCTCTCACCAGCGCGTCAGCGGCTGATTGACGATATTATCGCGCTATACTCAATGGAGCCCACAGTTGAGCGCGTGAAGCGGTACACGGCTGACTGCGTGTACGACGACCAATTTGTCTACGCCAACGACCGATACAAGATGGCAGGGCAGTGGTTTGCTTTGCCCAAGCTCTTCAAAGCGAGCGTGAACGAGGGGTATGAGATTGTCAAGAACGATCGAGACCTGATCCAGTTCAGGAATGAGCAAAGCTGGACTTTCAAGCTCATCCCAAAGACTGCGACAATTAATGCGCTTGTCAGCCTGAGCCTGGATCCCGGCACCGTCGACAGCGACTTCATTCAGGTCAAGTACCACAAGGACCAGGCCAATGACAAGGACTACAGCCATGAGTAAGCTCACCACGAACATGGGGACCGCCCATCATCAAGCTAATCACACATCCTAGGGGCGTTGGGTTCTCGTTCAAGAAGTGGCAAGCGGACAATGTCATCAAGGTCATGGATAGTAAAGAGGTTGAAGCTTTCGCTGCGGATAAGGATGCCAGCAAAAACAAGGTGAAGAAATATGGCACTGGCAAGACTGAAGGTGATGCACCTATAAAAGATCTCTGAGCCAAAATTGATGAAAGAACATATGGACGTGACCTTATTTCACCATCATTTAGCCCGAGAATCAGTGCAGAAAGAAGTGCTCCTTCATTGCATGGAATATCGGAATGATGCCACCTATAACATCACATCTGATAGAAAGTCTTTCGGTCGCGTCGCCGTGGAATGATTGAACTGTGCCGTCCAGCCATGGTCCGCTGAGGTAATACCTGAGACGTCGAATCTTCTTCCTCGTTAAGCCTCCCGTGTCATTACCAGCGCCAGATACTCTGGTCTTGCAGTAAATGACAACATATTCGGACATATCTTATCAAGTACACATGAAAAAGGATTTCCATGCATCTGGAAATGAGCTGCACATTTGGTGCTGCCTAAGGAACTGTCTTGGGCGAAGACTTCGCGACCTGCATGCGCAGCCGGTGAACAAACAAAGGGTTAAATTGAGACGAAATTAGAATGCGCAGCTCGTTATTAAGCTTAGGATAGCTGCTTCGCCTCCCCACCGCACAGCTAAATTCTGCAGCCTGTTCTAATCATGTAAGCACTACCAAGAGCAGTGGGTGGGCTCGGAGCAGGGATCATTGGCCCATCAGCCTTGGAAGGATTTACTCTCCGTCAACATGCAGTCTAGTCTCCAGGTCGGAATCAACTTTCTCTTCAATGACTGAAAGTAATCGCAACTGATTTCAATGTTGGCCATGAACTACTAGGTTCCACGATGCGCTACGGTTCGTGTATTTGTTGGGTTGGGCATCTTGCCAGGCGAGTTTCCCCAGGTAGTGCTGGCAGAGGACGTTACTGCAAATTTAGTGTTAAAGTTCACTGGCGAATATCTACTGACTTGGTTCAGGATGGACTGTCAGGAACTTCTCAAGTACTTTACGTATCGTGACCATGGCACCAAACATGGTTGAGAGACACCGCCCAGTCTGCAAGACTAGAAGCAGATTGACTGAAAAGTATCACGTGGAACGGGAGGATAAAAAAGCAAACAGTTAAACATAGACCGCCCAAATCCCACAGCCCTACTTGGCAGCTCCAACCAACGACTAAATGCTGACAACACTCCTCCGGACGAACAGACTCCCGCCCCTCCCCACCATGTTTCGCTGTTTGTTTCCCAGAAGGGACCCAAGAGACTGGCACGCCTACCGTGCACCGCCGACGTCAGCCCTGGGACCGTCAGCACAAACATGCAGCTGCCATCCCAAGACTGCAATATTCTGGACTCGTGGCCAGGTTGTTGAGATTGCTGGTCAGCAGCATGAGGCCAGATTCAGTAACGAGGCAACAACTAAGCTGACATTTTGCATCCATCGGGACAATGAGTGATGTCTTGTTGTAGCCTATGTTGGTTTGATTCCAAAGCCATCAGCAGAAGGATGCTGTGCCCCATATCGTAGGAATTACCAACCTATACCCCAGATGTGTGCTTGTTGGATTGAATGAGGCTGACGCTCATCTGCGGCCACTTGATGAAGTACACAAGATTGCAATCCTTTTGTGTCGCGATCATGTTATATAATAGCCTCATCGAACGCCTCTTCATTTCTCTTTCCTCTCATCATCACACACATCACAGCATCAACAAGCAACGAGTTCGCTTTCCGGTTTTCATCTTTCCTATTTCTCTTTCCCTTGTCTCATTTGTCAGCTCGGATATCCTGTCTGTCATTCCAACAGCAAAGAAATACATAAAGTAGTCAAGATGTACACCTCCACCATTCTCTCTTCCATCCTCTTCTCCGCCGCTGCTCTGGCCGCGCCGACCACCAACCCGAACCACCCCTCCTCCTCCGCCACCATCTCCACCCAAACCGACAACAGCTCCATCGACAATGTCCTTCCCCCCATCGTCCCCGTCAACACCCGTGCCGGCAACGCAGACCTCATCACAAAGCTGATGACCGCACCCACCCAGCAAGAGCGCGTCCGCCTCCTCAACCAACCCGGCGACTTCGTCTTCGACTTCAACGACTCCGGCGCCCCCGAGGGCTCCGAGTCCCGCGGCAAGGGTGGCTTCTCCACCTCCGCCACGGCAAAGACCTTCCCGGCCCTCATCGGCAACGGCGCCGCCATGACCCTCGGCTTCCTCGGCCCCTGCGGCATGAACACGGCCCACGTCCACAACCGCGCCACCGAGCTCAATGTGATCGTCAAGGGCCGCCTTGTCACCAACTTTGTCGTCGAGAACGGCCTCGACCCCATCGCCAACACCATGGAGACGTACCAAATGTCCGTCTTCCCCCAGGGCGCGATCCACCAGGAGTTCAACCCCGACTGCGAGGATGCCGTCTTCGTTGCCGGCTTCAACAACGTCGACCCCGGTGTCGAGCAGGTTGCTCAGGCTTTCTTCAACCTCCGCCCGGATGTCGTCTCTGCCACCCTCGGCGGTGTGCAGACCATTGACGGTGCCGACCTTGAGAGCTTCCGTAAGCACATCCCTGCCAACATTGCTCTCGGCATCGACGCCTGCTTGAACAAGTGCGGCATCAAGCGCAACGCGAAGCGCGACCTCAACGAGATCTTTGGCGCGCCCCAGAACTAGACTCGTGACGATTGATGGGCTGTGATTGGGATGGCAATTGTAAATATGCATTGTTGTATGGAGCATGACAGGTAGTCAGCATTTCAGCGTAGGCATTGAAGTTCATATGGAGGGGCATAGCGTGGGCTGCATAGCCAAGGACATTGGCTCACTGGCGTTTAGATTTTGGGTATCAAATATTTTGCTTTAGACACTGTCAATACATTCTTCTACTCATCTTTGTTTTTTGCTTCACCTCACTGAACAGTGTGGCTCGATAATACAAAAGCTGCTGAGTTGTCGAGCCGCTTCATTCGGTTACGATTGTGCAATGCAACCCACATAGGTACCTAAGAAATAGTCACAGATGATTTGGAGAATGCCATCCTCATAAGTCCCAAACGCTGTCGGAAAAGTAGACCCCTTCACCTTGGCCAACGAGCTCTTCGATATTGCGAACTTGAGTTACATCAGCACGCCTCAGAGTCGTAGTGTCAGAGTTGCATCGCATCGGGCGAAATGCCAACCTCGCGTTGGACGCGCGAGGATCACCAATACAACTCAAGCTTCCTTCGCGGGCTGTCCATAGCGCTGCAGACCGCCCCGCGACCCCACGTAAGGCTGGATGGAAACCAGGGGAAAACAATGCGATGCCGCTCACATTTGCCGATAGTTTCGCCGCTAGAGAGATGATCTCTCAGCCTAGAGACTTAGGTGCGGAGGTCAGGTGGCTTGTGTGTATAAACGAGAGACACTTTCTCAGCTCGCTGGAGTATAAAAAAGCAAGCTGGCAGATGTGAACTTTGACTCAAAGAGCGCCCGACGCAACCCAACTTTGTACCACACCTTTTCTCAATCACCGTCAAATTTCAATCATGACACAAGAATTCGACTTCATAGTCGTCGGTGGTAAGTTTAATGTTCCTGGAGACAAGGTTGCCGTGAGGGGTCACGCCTCTTCATCCTCGGATATCACAACGAACCCCTCACGAGAGGAGAAACCGCACTAACAACAACAAACGACGATCAGGCGGCACAGCGGGGTGCCTTCTCGCCTCCCGCCTCGCAAACACGGCATCGAAGCCCAGTGTTGCGTTGTTAGAAGGTGGCGGTGACATCAGCAAACCCGAGTATAGGCGTACGGCTGAAAGATTCAGCACCATTGCACAGCCGGGTCTCGACTACGGCTATGCCTCGACGCCGCAGGAGCATGCGAAAAATCGCGAGGTGCCGCAGGCTCGTGGCAAGGGTCTAGGAGGGTCGAGTGCTACCAACTTCCAGGTTTGGTCACTTGGCGCGCGCGCGGAGTTCGATGCCTGGGCTGCGGCTGCAGGTGATGATGCTTGGGGATTTGAATCCGTCATTGAGAGGGTTAGGAAGGTAAGTCGAAACCAGTCTTGAAGAGAGATCTCACCTTATCTTGGTCTCGAGCTGACTTCGAAAAGCTGGAAAACCTCCACCTTGATGATCTTTCCAAGGAGTGGGCTGAATATGTGAAGCCCGATCCGAAGTATCACGGTTTCTCTGGGTAACAATTCACTTTTCATTGCAGTGGTCCACTTTTCTGACATTACTCAGGCCCATCGACGTCTCCATCGGACACGTGGAACGAGAAACAAAGTCCTTTATCGACGCTGGAGTTGATCTCGGGGTGGGTTGATTGACAAGCCAGACGACAATGGTTGAGGCAGTGGACAGTGATGCTGACCCCGTGATAGCACAAGCGCAACCTTGACCCCAACGATGGTGACCCAATTGGCTTCTCGCTGAACTCGACAACTAGTCTGAATGGTGTCCGAGTGACCGGTGCATCTGCATTCCTCGAGAAGAATGTTCCAGCAAATTTGACCGTTCTGACCGAGAGTCGTGTGGTCAAAATCATCTTTGAGAAGGATCGTGCAGTGGGTGTTCTGAAGGAAGATGGTTCGCAGGGTAAGCTTGCGTAAAATCCCAGTTGATACCTGGCGATTCACTGACCCTGAAACTTCAGTTCGAGCGAAGTACGAAGTCATTCTATCAGCCGGCGCCCTTGACAGTCCCCGTCTACTGCTACTTTCAGGTATCGGACCTCAAGCAGACTTGGGTGCCCTCGGAATCCCCGTGGTCAAGAACCTCAATGGTGTGGGGAAGTCCTTTACAGACCACCCCATGATCGTGACTTGCTTTCAGATGAAGTGCGGCTTCACTGATAGGATGGGGCTCTCTGACCCAAGCAAGTACGAGGAGGCCGTGAAGCAACTCGCAGAAAGTGGGAACGGACCGCTTTTGGGGCATTTCTCGTCTGTTCCGCATGCTTTCCTCAAGAATGATCGGGCTTATGAGTCGCCTGAATTCAAGAAACTCCCCGCTGATGTGAAAGGCTATCTGCTCGAGGAAGGTGTCCCTAGCTATGAGCTTGTCGTAAGTTGTACTAGGGCTGAAAAGCATGACCCTCAACTAACGTCAACCTACAGATTGGACCTTTGATTCCTCCTGATCATGTCTTCGAAAAGTCTAGCGACGGGTTCTTTTCGGTATTCGTTGCAAACATGAACTCTGTCTCTCGAGGAACAATCAAATTGGCTTCAGCCGACCCCGCGGACCCCCCTCTGATTGACCCGAAGTATCTCAGCAACCCTTTCGATTTGGTAAACCTGCGAGAAGCGCTAAGAGAAGGACTCAATCTCCTCAAGACCAGCACGATGAAAGACCATTTCGTCAGGCCGATATTTGCACCAAAGTCGGAGAGCGACAAGGATATTGATGTGAGTTAGAAGCTTATCTCAGCAATTAGGGGT